CCAAGAACTATGGCCCACAAGTCTATCTAGTCTGGATGTGCTTCCTTGGCTGTGTTCTCATCTGTTGGGCAGCAGGAATCGATGGAATACCAATTGAGATGTTCCCACAAACAGATGTAATGCTGGAAGTACTCACTTATTTATGCCAAGAAATTTGGAAGACAGTTACCCGGCAAAATGACCAGTACCACCAGAGCCCCTTTGCTTGTATATACCACAGTTTATTTATCCATTCATCTGTTGATGGATGTTTCGATTGTTTCCACCTTTTGAGTACTGTGAAAATGCTGCAATGAACATTGGTGTACAGGTTTCTGTTTGTGTTCCTGCCTTCACTTCTTTTGGATATATACCTAGCATTGGGATTGCTGGGTCATATAGTAGTTCTATGTTCAACTTTTTGAACACCCACCAAATTGTTTTCCATAGTAGCTGTATCATTTGATATACCCACAAGTAATGAATGAGCTTTCCATTTTCTCCACACCCTTGCCAACACTCGTTGTCTTCCGTACTTTTGATCATTGCCGTTCTAATAGGGTTGAGGTTGTATCTCATTACAGTTTTGATTTGTATCTCTTTAATGGCTAATGGCATTAAATATCTTTTCATTTGCTTGTTGGCCATTTGAATATCTTCATTGGTGAAATGTCTGTTGAAGTTCTTTGCCCATTATTTGATTGGGTTGTCTGTCTTTCTGTTGATAAATTGTACAAGTTTTTTCTTATATATCTTGGATATCAGACCCTTGTCTTATGGAGCTCTGGTGGTGTAGTGAATAAGGCATTTGGCTGCTAACCGGAAGGTCAGCGATTCAAACCCATCATCCGCTCTGTAGAAGGAAGATGGGACAATCTACTTCTGTCAAGATTTACAGCCTTGGAAACACAGTGGGGGTTGCTGTGAGTTGGAATCAACTTGATGGCAGTGAGTTTGTTTGTTTTTTAAGACCCCTATTTGGAATATGAGGAGCTCTGGTGGCGTAGTGCCTAAGGCATTTAACTGCTAACCAGAAAGCAGGCGGTTCAAACCCACCAGCCACTCCTCGGAAGGAAGATGGAGCAATCTACTTCCGTAGTGATACTGCCTCTGAAACCCAAGGAGGGGTTGCTGTGAGTCAAGTCCGACTTGATGGCACATAACAACAACAATAATCTGGTATATGGTTCTTGAAATTTTCTCCCAATCTATAGGTTGTCTCTTTACTTTGTTGATGAAGTCTTTTGGTGAACAAAAGTATTTCATTTTTATGGGTCTCATTTATCTGGGAGCCCTGGTGGTATAACAGTTAAATGGTCAGCTGCTAACTGAGTTGGCTGTTTGAACCCACCCTGTGGCACCATGGGAGAAAGACCTGGAGATCTGCTTCTGTAAAGATTATTGTCTAAAAAAACCCTATGGGGCAGTTCAACTTTGTCGCATGTCAGTTGACTTGACAGTACCTGATAACAACAATCTATTTACCTGTTTTGTCTTTTGCTGTGTATGCTTTTGTTGTCATATCTAATAATCCATTGTTAAAAACTAGGCTTTGCTGCCACATGCTATATTTTTTCTAGGAATTTCACAGTTTTAGATTTTACGTTTAGTCCTTGATCCATTGTGAACTGATTTTGGGTATGACTTGAGGCATGGATCCTTATTCATCATGTGTGAGAAAATCCAGCTTTCCCAACACCATTAATTGAAAAGACTCATCTTTCCCAATTGAATGGACTTAGCATCCTTGTCAAAAATCAATTGACCATAGATGCATGGATTTATTTCTGGATCCTCAATTTCATCGCATTGGTCTATATATCTTTTATTATACTAGTACCAAGCTGTTTTTTGGAAGGAAGTTTGGGCAATCTACTTCTGTAGTGATACCGCCTCGGAAACCCAGGGAGGGGTCGCTATGAGTTGGGTCCAACTCGACGGCACATAACAACAACAACAAGCTGTTTTAATTACTACAGCTTTTTAGTATGTTTTTGAATCAGGAAGTGTGAGTTTTCCTCCTCTGTCCTTTCTCAAGATTGCTTTAGCTATTTGAGGTCATTTGCCCTTCCATGGAACCCTTCTGGTACAGTGGTTAAGGTGCTCAGCTGCTAACAAAAAGGTCTGTGCTTCTAACCCACCAGCCGTTCCATGGGAGAAAGAGGTGGCTTTCTATAAAAAGATTCTGCTTCTGTAAAGATTATTATGAGTTGTAATCAACTCAGTAGCAGTGGGTTTGGTTTGTGGGTTGGCTTTCCATACAAAATTGATAACTGGCTTTTCTATTTCTATAAAGAAGGCTGTTGGTGTGATGGGACAATTTAGGCAAAAGTGGCTAAAGCCCAGTTCTCCAGTAGGGACTGATGACATAGACAGGACCTTATTAGCCCTATGAGGGCCATAAAGAGAACTGAATTTTTGATGCATGATATGACATGGATGAACCTTGAAAATATCATGCTGAGGAAATAAGTCATTTGCAAAAAGACAAATATAATATGTTCTAATATGGAATAAGTAAATATACAGAACCTAAAGATTATCAGTGGTTACCAGGGTGGAAAGGAGGGGGAAGGAGTGGGTTTGCTTAGGGGGCATTGAGTTTGTGTGGAATGACTTTGAGAAGGAGAGCGAGAATGGTTGCACAACTCCAATGTAATCAATGTCAGTGAATTGTATGTGTAGAAATTGTTGAGATGGCATTGTTACAAAGTATATATATTTTCACCCCACACAAAGAAATGAATTTACAGAATCACACACTGACAAAAAGAAACCCTTCTTTCATCACAGGACCTTTGGACAAGTCAATCTCTCTGGAATATCCACTTTATCTGCCTGTCTAGCCAAATCCTACTCATCTTTCAGGTTTTCCCTGACCCATCAGACCAGATCTGGTTTACTTCTTATAATCTCACAGAGTATCTTGGGCTTCTTTCCTAGAATAGCCATGAAAATGGTAATTAAAAATTTGTGCAATTATTGAGTATCTGTCTTCCTGGTGTAAGCTCATGTGGGCAGGGACTGTTCAGGGAAGCACATTTGTCTTGCTTATTGGAGAATTCCAGCATTTACCCCACAGCTTAGCTCATAACTCACTGCCATCCAGCCAATTCCACTCACAACGACCCCTCCTTCAGTTTCCCAGGTGATATCTCTACAGAAGTAGATTGCCCCTCCTTCCTTCCAAGGAGTTGCTGGTGGGTTTGAACTTCCAGCCTTCTGGTTAGCAGGCAAATGCCTTAGGCACTACACCACCAGAGCTCCCAGCTTAGCTCATGTTGTTGTTGTTGTTTGCCGTCGAGTCAGCCCCGACTCATAGCGACCCCTCCTTGGGTTTCCGAGGCAGTATCACTATGGAAGTAGGATTGCCCAACCTTCCTTCCGAGGAGTGGCTGGTGGGTTTGAACTGCCAGCCTTCTGGTGAGCAGTCAAGTGCCTTAGGCACTATGCTAGCTTAGCTCATAGTCGTCAATACATTAAGTGGAGGAGAGGCGGGGACTACTAGCTATCAGCTGAAGGGGACTTGACTGTTAACCAGAAGGCTGGCAGTTCAAACCTACTCTCCACTCCTCGAAAGGAAGATTGGTCAATCTACTTCCCTAGTGATACCGCCTTGGAAACCCAAGGAGGGGTCACTATGAGTCAGATCCGACTCAACAGCAGTGAGGTGTTTTTTTTTTTTTTTTAGTCTCTTTGGCATTGGCTAGACCTGCTAGATATGGAAGAAAAGGCCTGCCCAGACACAGACCAGAGAAAAGCTGGAGCGGCTTGGCACCGTGCTTAGTAAACCAGACGATAAATCGTAAAGGTAAAATTGTAGTTTTATGAGCAAGACAATATCTAATTTTCAGCTCAGAACATTGAAGGGTTAAGTGTAAAAAACATTAGTTCTTGTATGTGTGTGTGTATGTGTGTGTGTGAGATTTGGGTTAAAGTTTACAGAGAAAATTCATTTTCCATGCAAGAATTCACACACATTTCGTTTCAGAAACATACTAGTTTTGATGATACTGTGTATCTGTTTATTTTTTGTCCACTCTTTTTGCAAATATTTTATATTTCTTTAATGATTCCTCGAAACAGTCTCACATGGAGAACTGGTTCAATGTCCTAAGGGATGAAGAAAAATTTCCTCTTTCAAGACTCTATTTTTTGAACGGTAAGAATTGCTAAAGAGGAAGCAATCAAGCCAATCAGGTGGACTCTGTCTTCCACCCAGAGCGCTGCTTCCTGGTTGTGAAACGCTTTCAGATCCCCTTGTGAACTGGTTTGCTTTTCATTTTCAGAGATCGTGCACCTCTATCTATTCATCTCAAAGACACCACCAGGGAATCGATTCTGGAAATTCACCTCACGGTGAAAACAAGCCACAATCGGCAGTCTTCGCGAATGTGACATCACTAATAATCCTATATTGGTTAATTTTTGCTTCATTCATTTTATTAAAAAATGTTTGCAATTGCCTTTATTGCCGTAAAAAGTCCCGGTGTTCTCTCCAGGCTCCATCAAACTGGCGCTTGCCCAGTCGGCTATGGGGCGTCGGGCCCCATGTCTCGGGAGGGGAGTCTGTCCCGGTGAGGGACATCAGGGGCTTCCCAGAGGACGTGTGGAAACCGAAACAGAAATCAGTGATTTAAAAACATAAAAAAACACCTCAGAAAATTCTGTTTGTGAAAGCAACTAAAGAAAGGTTTTGCCTAATACACAAGGTTACGTTTCTTCAATGCCTCCAACTTTTAACAGAACGTTTTTCCCGACAGGTAGCTCACAGCTCCAGGAAGCCTACAAGAACCCCAGGGTGTACGCCTACCACACCCGCCAGCTCCGCCGGCTGGGGAGATCAGAGGTCAACGCCTTCGCCAAGTGCCCGCCTCCCGCAGCGAGACCGTCCACGATTGGCTGGAGCCGCTGCCTGTCGCCAGAGGAGGCTGCGTCTCCCGCAGGCCGGCGCTCTCATTGGTTTGTGGCTGCGGCGGCAGCGCGCTAGGTCGCGGAGGGGAGGGGAAGGGAGGCCGGTGGCCGCGGCGGCGGAACGGGCGGAGGCTGTCGGTTTCGTAACCGTTGCTCCTCCTCGCTGACTCGCGGGCTGCGAGGCCTGGGTCTGGTAAGGCCGCGCGGGGCCGTTCGGAGTGGAGGCCGCCTACGGGCGGGCAGGCTGGAGGCGCAGGTAAGGAGGCCGGGCGGGCGGACTGAGCGAGGAGGGGGAGGCCGAAGCGGAGCCAGCCGCTCGCGTGGGTGCGGGCCGGCCGGAGGAAACTGAGCCCAGCCCAAAGTGGCTGGCTCGCCGGAAAGGCCCGCGCGGCCTGCAGTGCGGGCGGCGGCCCCGCGCGGCGTCTGATGCAACCTGCCGGCAACACCCGGCGGGGGCGCTGAGCTCATCTTTGGCTGCGGTCCAGCGCCGCGGTGCCACCCGCCGACCCCCGCCCACCTCGTCCCCCGGGCGCCCCTCGCTGCCAGCCGGGACCGCTGCGGACGACCGGGAACGAGCTAGAAGACAAGGTGTGCCTTCCAAGACCCGCCTTTCTGTTTGTGAAACGTACAGTTGTGACAGTCCTGGCTGGCATTGACCCCTGGGGACTTCGGGTGTTCACAGAATAGCCGGCGGTGGACCGTATCTAACTTTCAGTGGCACATAGGTATTTCCTGCCCCTCTAAAACTACTTATTCTGGGGTGGTTGAGAATTCTGTTCGGAAGTAGAGTGATAGGGGAATCAGCAGATCTTTAAGTACATAACTTTAGAGAAATAATATTTTGCTTATTTATGGAACTCTAATTTAAATATCCTGCAATTCACTGTTTAGCAAAGGTTAGATGAACACGCAGCAACCACAAGTAGAATAGAAAACAGAAGGGCAGGAAAATGAAGCACTTTATTAGCATTGTTGGAGGGAACTCGGCAAGGGTAATAGCTAACTAGATGGAGAGAATGGACATACGTGTTCGAGGGGAGAGTTTCTTCCAAGTAACCTTGTACATTTCTACTTTGCAGAAGATGTGTTTGTTTTCCTTCTTGTTTGGGGTTTATACTGTAATGTGTCAGTTTTAAACAGTTTTTAATATTTGGGAGCTACACAAAAAATTGATAGTTCTGTCCCCCAGCCTACACGGACTTGAATCCTTATTTGAGTGAACTTCAGATTTTTTA